CACACACACCATATATACTATATAGATATACACACATTTCAGCATACACAGACTGCAGCGCATGCAGAGAGAGTGTGGGTGTTCAAGGGGCAGTTTGAGGAGGTTCCAGGGGAGGGGGGCTTTCCTGTCACTTGAATTACCCTCCTACCATGGGGGTCAATTATGTGCAATGCTGAAGAGTGTGTGTGTGTGTCTGTGTGTGTCAGGTGTGTGTGTGTGTATATATATATGTGTGTGATTGAAATATTTAAAGAGAGCGGAAGAAGCGAGCAATGTTGATTTATCACTTCTAACATTAGAGCAAATTTAAGAAGTTGAAAGTAGCAGGTTCCCAGAGCAAGACCCCCTCCCTCCCTCCCTCAGATGTCCCCTACCCCCGCACTGACACATCTGGGGCTTTTCTGGGAGGTGGGGGGTGGAGGAGGAGGAGGGGTGTGTGTGTGTGTGTGTGTGTGTTTGCACTGAGCATTTCGGGGCCGTGGTCCTGAATGAGTGAAATTCAGCGATGCACTGGACTAACGCTACTAGAAGAAGTCTGTCTGTCTGTCTGTCTGGGACGCCTGTCTACTGTCTCCTGTCTGTCTGCACGAGTGTCTTTCTTTGGGAGGAGGGTGTGTTTCTAGTTAAATCGATAAAACTGTATTTTTTTTGTATTTTTCTAAATATTTATAGTTTTTTCTTGTTTTTTGGAGAATTGTTCTGTACAAATCCAAACTATGTTTTTCCAAAATGCTTCACAAATTTACTTCCATGGGTTCATCTCACTTTGTTAACATCTTCTTATTAACGTTAACTATTTTTGGTACCAAACAAAATGTGTCCATAACACTCAGTATTAATAATTATTAAGAAGGGCATTGAATGCTTGGTCAGATTCATCATCTTAATTACGTATTCTTTAACCAACAATCATTTTAAGTTCGGCTCAAATGTGTTTGAAACAGTTTTGAAATTTTGCCACTTTTAGACTGTAGACAAAGTTGGTGCACAGCCCAGAAATAAGGCCTCTTTTGTTAATCTAAAAACAGCCGTTGTGTAGAAAACATGTTCATAATCCTTAAAGTATAAAAACTCCATCGTATCTGCACTGGCGTCGAAGTAGTCCAACGATACCCGGCCCTACTTCTGATGCAGCGTGTTGTCAGTCGGTGGTGTACCAGGGGGATTTTCCTGCAGCAGGTAACCCAGTTCACTTGGCATTAGCTCTGCGGTTGCCCGCTGGCTTTTGCAAAGTGTTGGGACTCATTAGCGTGTCTGCCTTACGGTCGTCTCTGTGGACTGAGACTCTCCATTCAGCACCCGGCTAATGAATTAACACATTAAGATGAAATGTCAGCCATTACATGTGAATGAGGATTAGAGAAGCAGCAGGACACTAATGGACCGGGGGCTCGAAAATAGTCACACAGACTTTGAACAAGCATCTGGACCGTCGGCTCTCAAAAAAATACACAAAAGAGGCCAAAAAGAGTCTCTCTGTTTGTGGGCTGGTGTTTTAGTTGTGTGTGTGTGTGTTTGTGTGTGTGTGTTAGTGTCAGTGTCATTATGTCTTTGGAAATGTTGCCTTTATTGCTTTATGGTGTTTGCAAAAATGTTGCTTGAAATGACAGAGATTCCTCACGGATTTGGCCGACGTACAAACACACACACTCTCGTACACACACACACTCTCGTACACACACACACACACACACACATTCATCCTGCAGCAAACACTCAGCCGAGGTATGTAGTTTGTTTCTGTGGCGAGCTGCGCTTTGCATATCAGCTGCCATTGTCTTTTAAAAAACTTTTATTTTCCCTATTTGAATATGCTAATTTTGTCTCAATTGTCATTCAGAGCCACCTGGTATCCACTGCATCCGACTCTGCTGCCAGATCTCGGGTTTCTCCTCGGCGTCTCTCGGTTTCTTTCTCTCTGACTCTTCAAAACAGAAACAAGTGAATCGCACCGAATTCTCCCCACCAGGTTTTCTGTGTGGCTGAGTAGGACATGTTGTAATATTTGCTCTTCCTGGGGATTATACGTCTTTACAGGGATTACCCAGCCTGCTCAAACACTCCCCTACGAGGCACACACACACACACAGAGGGCAACCTCCCCTTAAACTGCGTCAGTACCTTAGCAGGGTTGCACTGCAGAGGTGAACCTCGCTCCACTGTTGAAGGTTGTTCTTCAGTGTGTCATAATAAGTGTTTTTGGTACCGAACAAAATGTGTCAATCTCAATTGTTTACCCTGTAAAATATGTTTCTTTAAATGCCCTTCACAATCCGAGGTGACGTCTTGTCTTATTTTGTCCCATCAAGAGTCCATAACCAAAGGATATTCAGTTTATTATGATATAACACAGACAAAAGCCGCACGTTGGAGAAGCTGGAACCAGAGGATGTTTGGTGTTTTTGCTTTGTAAATGACTTCAATGGATAATCAGCCATAAAAAATTGGATGGATTCATTTTCTGCAGATTGTCTAATTTCTTTGGCACCAACTGAAAAGTTTCCACAGCAAACTGAATCTAACGCCAGCTTAGATTCAAATTAAACGTATTCTTTGATAGTTCTGGATTTAGATCAAAATGTGGCCAATGTTAGACTATTTAAGTTCAGACAACACTCACTGTTTTCTGACCGTCTCTAAAAAGCATTGTCACTGATTTGCTGAAACAATGACGACGTCATTCAATCGATTCTTTGGTTGACAGAAAATGCATTTTTTGAAATAATAAATCAAGCATTTTTAGCAAAAATGCCTAAAATTCACTGGTTCCAGCTTTGAAATGTGAAATATTGCCACTTTTCACTGTTTTATATCATTATAAATTGAACGCATTTGGGTTTTTAACTGCCAGACAAAACAAGTACATTTAAAGACACTTTTCTTTTTTATTATTTACTGAGACAATCATTTGTAGATTAGGTAATTCAAATAATATTTTTGCTATCCTAAGTGTCATATCAGCTCTAGTATTGCACAAGTATTAGTTATATTACACAACTCCCATTATATCCATATAACAATAAGCATCTTATCCTGACTTATACTGTCACTGATCTTCTCCCTCAAGATCTTTTCACCTTCATTTGTACTTTAACTCAACAGACTCTGAGCACAGAAGGACCGGAGAGTGAAAGTCAGTAAATATAGATGTGGAAGTAGTCCGTAAGTAATCTGCTGCATGTACGGAAACAAAAGAAACGTTAAACGTCAGACTACGAGTAGAATAGTGCACATTATCCCATCTTACATGCATCATGTATGAGTGTGTAACTCAGGAAAGAGTTGGACCGTTATAGCTGCTGTTATAGCTGCTGTTATAGCTGCT